CCCTACTATGCGTAATAGCTTCATAAGAAGATTTAACCAAAACTGCCCATCACTGGTCAAACTCCAAACCAACACATCTACTCCAACATCACAATGAGGAGGATATAAGGAGAGTATGATGTTCTTCACATGAGATGGTAGAAAAAATTCTCGACCTCCTTTAGATTCTAAGTTCCACTTGATAAGCAAAAGTTAGTCACTATTTTATTCATATCCATCCTCTTTAGAAATATCAATTGAAGCACAATTATCTACCAGCCTTCCAACTCTTGGAACCGATATATCTTTCCACCAATTAAAAGAAGATTTTTTTGGGGGCAATGACGAAAGAAAAGATAAAATTTAGATCGCATGTTAGGAGAAGATGTGCCATCCTAAAAGCCATGGGAGTTTGGAAATTAAAGACATTAGTATTTTCAATGATATCTCTATTGACTAAGTGGAGTTGTAGCCTTTTCTACCAAAGGGGTAAATTTTGGGGGCAAGTCTTGGAGTCTAAATATAAATATGATGAATGGAAGAGTCTTAGAGAGGATCGAAGTTAATAGTATGTCTTCTATATAGTGAAGAGACTTAAAATAGGTATATGAAGGGGACAATCAAATGAAATGTTTGATAAAATTTTAGAGTGGAAACTAAGCGAGGGAATTTAAATAAAATTTTCGTTAGAAAAATGGACGGAAGAAGAAAGCTCATATAGGAGTCATTCATTCATCCTATAGCTATGTGGTTCCTAAATTCTAAACAGAAAGATCTAAATAGAAATATGGGGAATTGGGAAGATGAAAATTGTATATGGAATTTCAGATGGCATAGAAGGAGTTGAGTGGGAAAACAAGTAGTTGGATAATTTAAAAAAATTGATGATGAATGTAAAATTGCAAACAAGGTATGCAAACAATGGCTTGTAGACTCAACCGGAAAATTCTATGTCAACACAACATATATATATAGAGCATTAAACACAATATGTGGTTGGGAAGTCATTTTGATGAGATGTTTTCACAGGTATGGAAACTTAAAGTTCCATCCACAGCAACGCTTCTGATATGTAGACAAGATAAGCAAATAACTCGGATTAATATCATATTGGTTTTCTTTATTTTATTATGATTAGTTAATGAAAATAAGATAAACAAGGGAAGGGAAATAATGGCATAGTTATATATGGCTATACAACTTTCACAATCCAAATATTTTTATAAATATTTATAAAATAAGTATAGATAAGTTGTTGATAAGTTTTCAAATATTTAAGATCTAATAGAGGGTTAATGATGGATGACCAATTAGCTCTCATGATAATCGATTATATGATTAATAACTAATTTTATAAAAAGTCATGTTTTCTAAAATAATTAATTTTACATCGTCCATAATGGATTATATACTTTGAAACTTAATTTTGAATTTTGACAAAAAAAGACTTTCATTATGAATTAATCAATCATGCAAAAAAATTAATCAATTTCTTTGTAAATTAATCAATTACTTTGTTTATAATTTCAATCTGAAATGCATGTTGAGCAATTTAATCGATTAAGGTGAGTAATAATTGATTACAACAATTACATATGCTGATATTTGAAGATAACAGATCTTATGATCTTGTATTGTATATATCTTACTCTATGTATGGTAGCTTAATTATATATTTTTTGTTGATTGTTTGGAAAAAGAAATATATAAATAAGACTCTTGAAATTCAAAATTTTGTTGTTGAAAGGTATTACACAAACTCTTTGTAACATCTAACATGTCTCACATATCAATTACTACATGTTCAAAGAGTCACACGTAAATTTCCAACCAAATTTAATGCAAAATCTTTACATTTCTGCCATTTTACTATTTACTTGGCGTTTTTTTTACTGACATTTTAGTTTTTTTTAATAGTATCTTCTTCTTGTATCATCTTTCTTGTTTTACGTTTAAATTTTACATTTCAACTTGAAATTTTGATTCTTTAAGTTTCAAGTCATTTACATTCTTACAAGTTGTTTTCTTTTCAAAATTTTAAACTACTCTTCAAATTCACTTCCATGCATATTTAGATTTCATGTAATTTATTTTCCTTTACAGTCAATGTAAGTTTGAATGTCAATGCTTTATATATGCACAAGTTTTTAATCATTGTCAAAAGTCAAATTCGATTACATTTTAGTCAAAATATTAAATTAGAATTTTGATTTAATTAATTGTATGTCAATCGATTGAAACTTAAATGTTGGGTTGACAAAAAAAACAACAAACTCATAATAAATGTTAAATTCTAACTCCAAACATACAGTATAATTTAAAATCAAAGAAGGGAAATTAAACTCTAATTTCTTTTAAATTGAAAATCTTAAACTTAACCTGAAATGATTGACTGACACAATGAACAATTGGTGACACTGTCAAAAAAATACAGATAAAAATGAACATTTTCAGAGATCTATAAGAACTTTGAAACGTTGAAGACGAAGAGTCGAAGACACAAGTTATGATTTTAATGCAAAGGAGAAGAAAATGTAGGAGGAGCACAAAAACAGATAGTTCACTTGCTATTCTTTCTTCTTCCTCTTTTCTTCTAACTCTAGAAGTTCTTCCAACACCTTGTCATCCAAATACTCAAACTCAATAACTTCCTGCTGTGTAGCAGAAGAACTTCCAACAACACTAGTAGAAGACGACGATGACGATAAAAAAGGAAGATGAGAATGGTACTCATCGGGAAAATTAAGGATTGCAAGAGCACCCCTCAAACCAATTGCTGCACGATCATAAGCTCTAGCTGCTTCTTCTGCTGTGTCAAATGTTCCTAACCATTGCCTTCCTGTAGGTTTTGTTGGGTCTCTAATCTCTGCACCATACTTACCCCATGGCCTCCTTCTCACACCACGATACCTCACTTCTTCTCCTCCCTTCTCCTTGTCTTGTTCTTCTTTGCGAGCATCCTCCATATTGTTCTTGTGTGTTGATTACAAATAACACAGGTTGACACAAGAAGTAACAACTTGAATTCTTTGATAAAGTTGTTTATTAGTTTTGAATCCTAATCTTAAATATGAAAAAAAAAAAATATGTTGCAAAAGAAATACCTATTTTATGCGTACTTATAATCTTTGACATGCTAATAAAATAACAAATGTTTGCCCATTGCAAATTTGGTCTCTCCTTTTAACACTTTTTGAGTTTTCTTTACACTTTTTTTTAGTAGGGTGAGTTGGCTATGCTTCGCTTACGATCATGTATGTATATATAGGCAGCGTGTGTGAAAATTGTGTCACGTTGGCGCTTTTAGTTTTGTTGGGCCCTATTGACTTGTCTTCTTAGAATCTTAGTCGAGGAAGAGTAGAAATTCGATTCATCGACTCGGGTTTTATTAACTGGAATAAAAATATTTGGACCGGTAGACAGAAAAGAAAAAAAATACTATTTGGACATGATAAAATGAACAAATTCGTCATATGATGTATAAAGTCCGTGACTTAAACATCCATCATTCAAAGCACTTTTTGTATTAGGTTTATGTGGGGTGGCGATAGCATAATGCGCGTATTGCATAGGTTACTAGATATATAACTGCAACCTAATTCAAATTTGCTTATATCAATGGACTTGAATAATTAACGATATGGTTAATTTGACTTTAAGATCAATCATGATGTTTACTAATTGACCATGCATTGCATTATGATTCTTTTTATACTTCTAAATTCATGTATCTTTTTCGGTAAGAAAAGAGGGGCAAAACGCTTTTTGTTTCGAAAATTATCTCAATCGTTTTCATTTGCTTAGTAAATTTCTTTTTTTGTTTTGTGTTGTAGTATTTATTTAAATACTAGTTACCAATAATGACAAAAAAAAAGAAAAAGACTAGTTAGAGCATGGTGTTGATAGATAACTTCATCACTTACATATATAATAACTAGGGGTTTGATTATTAGTCTTAAATTATAAATTTAAGTCCAACTTAACTCTATAAAATATATTTTGAATGTGAGAATTTTCTTCTACTAATACACCATATTTTGTTCACATGTGACATCTCTTACACACACCTTTCACACTAAACTTTCCCATTAAGAATTAAATATTTCAAATATGAACACTACTACAAAAAGATTTTTAATAGCACACATCTTTTTTAAATGTTGATAAATGAAATTAGATATATAACAGGAGATACTAAACAAGTGTTGTTATAAGAAAAATAATAAACAGCGATTAATGTTATGAAGTGCTGTTAAATAGAGACCAATAAATAAGATAACACTTAATTTATTAAGTATTATATATTAATATAATAAATAGCATTAATCTTTTGAAAGTGCTGTCCAAAGTTTTCTACCATCCCCTGTATGGTGTAATATAATGTTTGTTGTTGTCCATCCGTGTAATCCAATATTTTATATCACGGTTAGTGTAAAAACTAAAAGTTTAGCCAAAAATAAGACTTCTACAGAAAGTCATGTCGTTACATAAAAATATAGTTGTCGCTAATCCAATGTTTTTACTTATTATATTTGTGCATGTTATTTTTATATATCATCTAAAATATAAATTTTGTATATTAATATGCTTTTTTTTTTATATACATGAAAATTATTTTCTTATATCATCTTAAATATAAATTTAATATATCTAATATGTATACTATAAAAATAAAAATCTTAAATCATTTTTTTGTCAATTTAGAAACACCTTTAAGACATGACACCAATTTTATTAAAATCTATGTGAGTAAAATATATTATATATCAATTTGTTTTAAAAAATTTAATAGACATTAGCCATGCAACTTAATTAATAATCCACTTATTTCATATATGATTATCTGATCTAATATCCTCATCGGTCTAGTTTTTAAAACATTGGTGATGATGTATGATGGAAAAAGTTGTTGTTGTTGTTGTTGCTATCCATTGACACCGTAATTTTTTATTTATTAAATTAGTTAATACTCTTTTGACACCATATATAGTTAAGTTTTGTTTAAAAAATAAAAAATTAATATCTATATGTTAAACACAAATATTTATCTTATGAGAGAGTATTTTTAGGAGTTTTTCTTCAATGAGAGAATTTATAGAAATTTTTAACTTGTTATTCAATTTGGTTTTATTTAATATAATTATTTATAAATTAAATTAAAATTTTAAAATAAATTATCAAAAATAAAAGCTTTTTTATTACAATAAAAATTATTTATCATAAACCTAAAATATAATTTATATGTTTAAAAATATTTATATATAATAATCTTAAATATAATTTTTATATTTATTCATATATATTATTTATTATAAATTTTAATTATATATAATAAATATGTTTATACATTACACAAACTAAATACTAATAATAAATAAATCATAATAGTAAATAAATATTATTTGAATAAATTAAGTTATCCTTCCTTAAGATCCATTTAACTTAATATTTTTAATATAAACTATACCTCCCTCATTTCAGAAATCTAAATATTGCATATAGTATTTATCCTTTATACATTAAAATAAACAATAAATTATAATTTTGTCCTTAGACATATAAATATTACATTATCACTCTCCTATTATTAATTTAGAGTCTTTAACTAAACATCACTAAAAAAATAATCATTATAAAATTTTTAAATATATTTTTAATTTAATTACTCATATAAAATATATATATATATATATATATATATATTTTTAGTTCATTGTTTTTCATTTACTTGATTAAATAATTATAAAAAAAAATATGTATATATAAAAAATAAAAAGTTGTCATCCTCACAGAAACTACATCATTCATACAACAGTAACAACTAATTACTTTCAAATCATTACATCATAAAATATATTCTAAAAAGTTGACCCATTTGCATAATTATCTAACAATATCAAAATGATTACATATTACAGTTATTTAACACACACACGCACAATACGCACACGCGCACACACACGCACACAAACACAGACACACACACAGAGATACAGACACACAAACACACAGACACACACAGACACAGAGATACAGACACACACACAATAATGAGACACAAACACACACACAATGAGACACAGACACAAACACATACACACACAGACACACACACACACAATCATATATGTAGTTACAAGTTACAACTAAATGCCTCTAAATGACGAACACTACTAGAATTTCTCTTATTACATGTTATTTTTCCTGCGAATTTTGTATTAATATCTACAACAAACATTATTTCTATGAATTTTTCTGTGAAATTTTATCTTCAAGTAATACCTTCATTAATAATATGCTTTTTCAAAACTCTCAACCCAAACTAACAAATTCTGCCACATGCAAACACAAAACACAATGCATAGGCTCCACACGACTCAAAATAAACTTAAATATCACATGCATCCAACCTATGCATCAAAATCATCAAAATCCTCATTTTTCTCAAAACCCCAAAAATGAGATTTTCTTCAATCCATTTATGAATTCTCAAGATTCATGCACCTATTGAGTTTCTAAACTCACATGCAACCTAAACAACAAACATTCTAGCTTTCCTCACTTGAAAATTGGCTCAAAATAGCCAATAACTGAGAAGAAGTAGAATTCCCTTCCGAAGCTCAACCCGGAACTTCAATCCTCCCAAAGTAAGCTTCCTAATTTGAATTTCAAGGAAAGACAGAAGACATTAGTGATCTAGAGGAGAAAATGAATCATACAGAGAAAATTTGGGAGAGAAAGGAGCTCACAGACCCAGAGTCCTTCTCTCTAAAACTTCTCTCTAAAAACTCATTCTCCTCAACTGCCCTTAACCCCTATTTATAGAAGTTTCGGAGTGGCCAGAACGGATTGTTCCGAATCTGGAACGGCCCGTTCTGTACCCCTTCATCATAGGCAAAAATCACATGCAGACGTTCTGAAATCAAAAAGGCCCGTTCTGAAATCAGAACGGCCCGTTCTAGGACTCCTCCAACCAGAACGGCCTGTTTTGGGGTTTGGAACGGCTCGTTCTCCCTCTATAATAGCCCATTCTCAACCACAATTTATAGGTCAATTTAATAGCTTGGAACTGCCCGTTCCAGATTGGGAACAGCCTGTTCTGGGCTACTAAATCACCTATATTTTTTTTAACTACGTTACAATACCCCCCAACAAACAGGAATTTTCATTCCCGAAAATAGGCCTACCTGAAAAGAGGAATGGATACTATTCCTTGAACTGACTCTCCACCTCCCAGGTAACCTCACCAATAGCTGCATCCCAAACAATCCTCACCAAGCTGATGGACTTGCCACGAAGCTCCTTCAACTTGTGATTAACCATAACTACCAGTCTCTTCTCATAGGTCAAGTTCTCTCTAACTTGCACCTCATCCATCTCTACCACTTGTCTCGGGTCTCTGATGTAGTTCCTCAACTGTGAAACGTGAAACACATGCTTTCCCTCTTCAAATTCTAGAGGTCTCCTCCTCCTATCAGCATAGGACTTTTATCGACTCTAGGTAGCCCTCAAACCTTTCCTGAAGCTATCTCACCATCTCAGTAGTCTAAAGAATTAACTCTGGACAAACCACTACTGACTCACCCTCCTGATACTAATATAATGGAGTCCTACACCTCCTGCCAGCTACCTAGATGATCCAACACACAAGCTCTCAAGAGATCCTCCAATGACTGAACTGTCCTCTCCGACTGACCATTTATTTGTGGATGATAAGCGGAGCTCAACCTCAACCTCGTCCCCAAAGCCTGATGTAGATTCTGCCAACCTGGAAGTAAACCATGGATCTCTGTCAAAAATAATACTAGAAGGCACTCCAAGCAACCGTACTATCTCTCTGATATAGAACTGTGCAAGCCTCTCAAAGGATCATCTCTTGTTGACAGGAAGAAAGTGTGCACACTTTGTCAACCTATCAACAATCACCCAGGTAGAGTCACTGTTCCTAGTTTTCCTAGGCACCCCA